TGTACAACGGGGACACCCCGGATGGCTCCGTTGTACACTTGGGTCGAAGTGTACAACGGGGACACCCCGGATGGCTCCGTTGTACACTTGGGTCGAAGTGTACAACGGGGACACCGCGGATGGCTTCGTTGTACACTTGGGTCGAAGTGTACAACGGGGACACCCGGATGGAGAGTCAAAGTACAAGAGCGGAGACACCTCCCGGGGTGGGGTGGGGGGGGGTGGGGGGGGGAAAATTGGCAAAGTGTACAACGAATCAGGGGGCTCCCCGGATACCGAATTTCGTTGTACACTTCGGCCGAAGTGTACAGCAAAACCATGGGTTTTGGGGGTGTGTACAACGAAACCAGGGGTGCCCAAAACCCTTGGTTTCGTTGTACACACCCCCAAAACCCATGGTTTTGCTGTACACTTCGGCCGAAGTGTACAACGAAATTCGGTATCCGGGGACCCCCCTGATTCGTTGTACACTTTTATCATAATCCTTCACTTTTGCAATTTTCCTACACTTTGGCCAGGGGGGCTGGAGAAGGACAGGTTAATAAGTCAATTTTCCTCAAGCTATTAGTAAGGAGTGGCTCGCTGGAACACGAGCTACATGTTGCATGGTTTGCACACTCATTTCCCCAGCCCTTATGCTCTCTGAGGTGCCTCCCAGCGCATTGAGCTCCAGCGCATTCTGTGAGAATCTTGAGCAGGTGAGTAGGCTGGGGACCTGGCAGACCTGGGGACCTGGGGGACCTGGGGACCTGGCAAACCTGGGGACTTGCCTTGTGAAGGACGCATGAACTGAGCGTGTCTGTGTGCAAAAGCGTGCTGCCTGCCAGCTATAGCACTGGTACAAGTGCGTGGTCGCATTGAGCTCCTGCGCATTCTGTGAAAATCTCAAGCTGACTGAGTAGGTGGGGACCTGGGAGACCTGGGGACTGGCTTTGTAAAGGACGTGTGGCATGTCGCTATTTGAGCGCTTGCTGGCGGCAGAGGAGGAGCGTCCCAACCAGGGCGAGTCTCAGGAAAGTCTGGTTTCAGATACGGGAACTCCGAAGAGTGAAGTAAGTCCCCTCAGCCTCAGGCTGCAGGCCCTGGAAGGCTGCACAGACACACCCGGCAAGGAGCTGTTCCCCCACTCACCTGGCCCAGATGGGGTTCCCATCTTGGCAAGCTCTTCCAGCCTGAGCCCCGAGCTGCTGGCCCAGAAGCAGGGGCTTTCTGAGCAGGACATCTCCATCGTCTTGCCTAGTGAAGCTGGGGAGTGCGAGGAGCAGGAGTTCTCCCTTGTCTTGCCCAGCACCGGCCAAGATGGGAAGCCCATCTTGGCTGAGGCAGGTAACCTCCCAGAGAAGAAGATTTTGGCGGACGCCGCAAGCCAGGACTGCTGCATGGTATCGGAGCATCCAGTGGCACTGATGCGCGAGAAGACATGCACACCCCGCCTACCCAGAATCCAGTGAGTTACGTAATTTTTCACGGAGCATCCTTTGGACAGCTCAATTCTTCAGACAAAAAATTGAATCCGTTCAATTCCCCACGCACTTGGTGCGGGGCAGGGTGGGGGGGGGGCTGGCGGGGGCGTCTGCTCTTACAGAGCAGTTCAATTCCCCACACTCGGGGAATTGAAACATCTAGCGGAGCAGTTCAATTCCCCACGCACTTCGGCCTGGGCGGCGGGGAATTTAACCATACCTGGACTCAATTCCCCACATATTGAAAAGCAGTTTGCACTTGGAGGGGGCTGGCGGGGAATTGAATCCCCAAAAATATAATAATCAATAGCAGCGTCTGTTTGACACACACACACACCCACACCAACGCCCACCCACACACCCACACACACCCACACCACACCCACACCTGCACTGACACCCGCACTGACACCCACCCACCCACACACACCCACGCACACACACACACACCCACACCAACGCCCACGCCCACACCCAAACCCACACACCCATGCACCCATGCACCCACACTCACGCACATGCATGTCCATGCATGACATGCATGTGCATGCGCACTGACACTCACTCCCACACCCACACTCACACACACTCTCTCCTCTCTCTCTCTCTCTCTCTCTCTCTCTCCCTCTCTCTCTCTCACTGTCTTACTCTCTCACTCTCTCTCTCGTCTTTTTTTCTTTTTTTCTCTCTCATCTCTACCATTTTCCCGCACACACACACACACCAAAACAAACACACACACACACACACACACACACACACACACACACACACACACACACACACACACACACACACACACACACACACACACACACACACACACAACACACACCACACACACACACACAACACACACAACACACACACCCACACCCACACCCACACCCACACCCACACCCACACCCACACCCACACCCACACCCACACCCACACCCACACCCACACCCACACACCACACCCACACCCACACCCACACCCACACCCACACCCACACCCACACCCACACCCACACCCACACCCACACCCACACACCCCACCCACACCCACACCACACCACACCCCACCCACACCCACACCCACACCCACACCACACCCACACACCCACACCCACACCCACACCCACACCCACACCCACACCCACACCCACACCCACACCCACACCCACACCCACACCCACACCCACACCCACACCCATGCACGCACGCACGCACGCGCGCATTCATGCATGCATGCATGCATGCAGGCATGCACGCACTCTTGCCGGGCAGGCCCCTGCATGCATCCAATCCTTCACCCACCGATGCGCATTCACACAGAGCCCGCACACTCATGTATGCACGACGCGCGCTCGCACCCACACGCAACGCACAGTGTACACAGGTCACACACATGCGCACCAGCGCTGCGCCAGGACAGTGTGCGCTTGCTGGACTTTGAGTCGCCGCTGCGCACCAGCGGCCACCAGGATGCCACAGAGGCCATGGCGTCCATGGCCAAGCATGGCGTGATGCAAAGTGTTGTCTTTCTGCCAGGAAGCTGAGCGTGCAGGTGGCCCTGAAGAGTCAGAAGAGGCCCTCCAAGCTGAGAGCAGTTCGGCTCCTCACTGGGTTTGTGCCAACTCTTGTCAGGAAGGTGACTTCAAAGAAGATGTGTGCTGCGAGCCGAGCGGATCCACGCAGGACCGCTCGCATGGGCTGTGCACTTTCCTCGCTTGCTGCTCAATTCAGTCAGGCAGACGCACTCCTGGAGGGGCCCGTCCAAGAGTCCTCTGCGGACATCCCTGAAATGTTCACGGAGCAGCCCACGGCAGAAGAGCAGATGGCCATCCAGAGGGCCAAGCGCAAGCTGAGCAAGAAGGTGGCTGCTGCGGAGTTGCAGCGCCCAAACAGCCCACCTCGCGGCATGACGGATGCAGACTGCCACCTGGAGCCCGCTGGAGATGCGCAGCCCGCTGGAGCACAGACTGTGGGAGATCCTGAGCCTCCAGCCCCAGTGGCAGGGCCAAGCGTGCCCTGGCGCAGGCGAAAGCTGCTACGTCCAGCACGGCCTCGGAGTGCAACTTTTGCAGGCCGCAAGCGCAATGCCGCAAACCAAAGCTTGCTGGACGACCTGGAGGACATGTTCATCGAGATGGTGCGTCGTGCGCACAGCTTGCCATCCAACTTGTCACATCACTTTCAACGAGCCTTCTATCAGCACTGTGCAGGGCGTGCAGACTTGGAGACTGCAGTGCAGGAGTTTGCTGACGAGCACGAGCTTTTTGAAGGTCCGGAGCCTGAGGAGCCAGCGCCTGCCTTCGTCAAGGCCAATCAGCGTGGCAAGATGCTGAAGCGCCCTGCTTCCTGCGAGCCAGTCAAGAAGCCTGCCGCCAAGGTGAAGGCTTGAGGCCCGGGTGCCACAGCCCACCTGAGATTCTCAATTGCTTGATTTTGGTGGAAAAAGGAGCTGTCATGAGCCAGCACGTTGTTGCCTGGCGAGTGACATTGGTTCGAGTGCATCTTTCTGCAGTCACGCCTGAGCCCTGCTGATTTCGAATCAGTGACCCTCAGCCGGACAAAATACACACTTGTCAGGGATCTGGCAAGTCGGGGAGGCTGTCGCTTCCGTCGCGTCACGGCACAGACTCGCAGCTTAGCGCACTGACTCCGGCTCAAGCCCTTAGTTAGAGATTTACTTTTTTGGGAGGAAAGTCCTGGGGACCTCTGGGGACCTGGAGACGTGAAGATGTCCGAAATCTCAGTGGACAGGACAATTGAGATGCCGCCACCCTCGGAGAGCAGGGACGCCTTGTTGGCTGACGCCCGCCGCGAGGTCATGCTCCATGTGCAGGGTCAGCTGAGGGACTCTGCTGGCAACGTCAAACACGCAGATATCAACAGCTGGCTGGCAGAGGTTGTGGCAGAGCCGCGCACGCAAAACTGCCTGCAAGAGTTAGAGTTTGCAGTGCAGGCCCGCTACTGCCCACCAAAATTGCTGACATCCATCCCAGCACCTCCGGCCAAGGAGAAAACAATCGCCTTCAGCCTGAGTTGGAGGAAGCTGGGTGTGAGAGAGGACAGGTTCTGCCGTTTCGCACCAGCAGTCCCTCAAGTGATTGACTGCAGCACGTTCCTCCTTGACAGGGATGGCTGCAACTCTGGCGAGTCGCCAATCACAGTGTACTTTGACGAAGCAGCAGGCACTGAGATGCAGGATGGCACTGTCTGCATTGATGCAGGCTCCGGCTGCGTCACGGCCTGCCACACAATCCTCACAGTAGCAGCGCTGCAAGAGTGGCACCAGAAACCAGGCTTTGCCACCATTGCCCCGTACTTGTACAAGTGCATGTACCTCCATTGCCGCTACATGTTTGCCAAAGACCTGACCAAGCGGCGACGGCTGTCCACGTGAAGAAGAACGAGATCACCCAGAGGACACGGACAACTCCGCTGCGCTTGGCCAGGACTGTTGCCCACACCCAATCGCAGGCATCAGTGTCACACTTGCCCTACTAGCAGAGTAAGTTGTCGGCCTTGTTGGCACAGTTGATCGGTGATGCATGAGCGGCATTATGTCTTGTTGCAAGCTGGCCGACAGGACCATCCTGGCGAACTGCTCCGCAGAACGCCGCATGGGGAGCACTGTGCCTCTTCGGAGGCTGGTGGAGGCGGAGCTGGGCAAGATTGACGCAGCAGCTGGGCGCTCCCAAGCTGGAAAGCTGTCATCAGTAGAGAGGAACGCTGTCACCTTCCTGTGCTTGACCACTGAGCCTGTGAGGCGAAAGCTTCATTGCATATGGGGCGACGAGAAGGTCGCGCACAGCGCGATTCCGACAGAGTACCTTGATATCAAAGGCCCTGCGCGATTCCTCCTTGAGACGACTGTCCCTGAAGAGAAAGCGGAGTGGAGAGAGCGCACAGCACCATCTGAGGAGAGAATCCTGCTGTGGTTGGACCGCATGGCTGAGGCGTTCAGCTGGCGCCTGCGAGAAGCGTACGAGAAGGCGGAGCGGCCTGCCATGGACTCGGTCGCCCACAAATTCCGGGATGGTGAGCCAGAGGTCGTCTACCGGACAGCTTGCATGTTCCTGGAGAGCAATCCTGACCAGGTGGCTCTGATGAGCCAGGAGCGCCAGCAAGAGATGCTGCAAGAATTCTTGCGCGGCAAGATTCACAGCATGGTCGCGTCCGCAAAGGCCATGGACCCAACATACAGGCCAAGGACCCACCTGAGGTTCCTGCGGGAGGCGCTGAGCATGTCGGAGGGCGATCAGCAGGCACTGCAGGCAGAGGAGGCTCAAGCAGAGGCAAGCCGAAACAGCCAGAAGGCCATGCTGCTAGATTGCATTCCCCCTCCCACAAAAAACAAAGGTTTTATTTGTCTCAGTTCCCTAGCTTGTTGGAGCTTAGGCTGGAGCTGGTCCGTGTGCGCTTGGACGGGGCCCGCACTGAGTTTGCCCAGCGTGTGAGCCAGATTGCGGACCACGATGAGCAGAATGCAGTGAAGCGCATGGAGTCGAAGGAGGCCGCCCACGAGGCTCTCAGCCACATGCTGGAGGCTCACCTCCAGCAGTTGTACACTGCCGGCGCCATGACCCGCTCGGAGAAGGATGCTGCCACAGTGGAGCTCAAGAAGGCCAAGGTGGCCACGATTCACCGCCCCTCTTGGCGCAGATTCATGGAAGCTGCTGGCCGCACAGCTGCCGAGATGCCACTGCCGGAGGGTGTTCCTGCAGCTGACCCCCACACCATGCTCCGTGTGAATGTGATCGACTGCTGCGCCATGGGCCCGACCCACACACAGCTCTACGCAGAAATGGTGGAAGATGCAGCAAAGGAAGCTGCCACTTTTCCAGCTACTTTTCTCGGCATCTGCAAACTGCCGAACGTCGCCAGCAGGAGCAGCAAGAGCTCGGACCCGGAGCAGGCAGTCGAGGAAGCCCAGAGCTCAGTCTTAGAAAAGCTGAAGGAGGGGTCCAACCATTTCCGCGTCCAAGTTGTCCAAATCCACAAGAGCCCTAAGCGCAAGTACTGGCATCCGCTTGCCATTTTCGTGTCTGACGAGAGGGACGCGGAGGGCAAGCCGGTGTCTCTCTTCACACGGAGGAGCATCTGGGTGCGAGGCTCCCTCGGGAAGTTTGTGGAATGCATGCTCCTTGATTGCTATACTTCTTGGGGTGGATCTGTAGAGCTTGATTTTTTGGGAAATTATTGTTTTATCCACTTGACCCAGAAGCTATTAAAAACTTGTTGCATCGGGGTCGACAGCAGCCAAGGCCCCGTTCGGAGTACAAGCACTGGACCGCCGATTGCAGCAGTGTAGCCAACGTCATGTCCAGCGCCGGGGATAACGAAGTGACTGATCTCCGGCAGCATCATAGCGGTGTCGGGCTGAATTCGCAGCTTCTTCGAGCCTGCCTGAGCGGATTCTCCACCAAGCTGACGGCACACGTCCGAGACTGGACCCCGGCGGATGACTGCCTGAGCCGAGCATGCATGGCTCTCAACGCTGAGAAGCCCAGAGAGCTGCCTCGGCTTGCCTACACAGCGACTGCATGGGAGCACTTCTTACAAGTTGGGGCTGGCAAGAGGTTGATCGAAAATTTGAACGTTGCCATGACAGCGAACCTGCGGAGGATGGTGATCAACAAAGACTACGAGTTGCCAGGCCTGCGAGCTGAGGACTATCAGGCACTCTTGGGGGAAGCTGACTCAGGGAATCCAGCGGCAGCAGATAGCACGCTGCCAATGCCCCGCAAGATCTATGTGTGCATTCCTCGCAAGAGCTCGCGGCAGTGGGAACTTCCCATCCTCGAGAAGGAAATTGCCAAGTGGAAGGCTGACATGCCAGCCTTGGTGGCGGACATCGACAGCCTTGTGTCGCAGCACAACCAGGCGGCAAACCCGTCCGGCACGGCCTACGCGCTCGCTGAGGAGAAGGAAGGCGACCATCAGCCTGAGCCTGACTTACCCCTGGACCGCTCCAAGCTGCTGGAGGACTTGCCGCAGCAGCCGAAGACTGTAGCAGAGATGCCAGGGCAGGTTTTCGAGGTGAAGGCCACCAAGACGCTACTTGCCAGCAAGGAAGTCCCAACTGTCCCCACACTCCCCATCTTCACACTGCGAACACCCCCCGTGCCAGGCTGACTCTCATTTCCAACTCGTGCCACGACCTCTTCGTGACCGCCAGTGAGGACCTCATGCTTGACCCGAACACTACCATGTTCACGGTGCGGGGGAAGTGGCTCTTCCGCGAGAAGGCAGACCAGGCACTCCAAGAAGCAGGGCAAGCTTTCTCAGCCAAGCTGACGCCTGACAGCACGGTGCTCTCGGAGGACTCGGCAAGAAAAGCCTCGCCAGTGCTGGCTGACATGCCGACCACATGCATGCCACTGCAGAAGTATGTCCAGGAACTGGCACGTCGCAACTTCGTCCATCCAAAGCTCATGGGGCACACAATCGGTCGGAAAGATGGCAGCACACAGTATGAGGTCACACCAGCTGGCTCCAATGCGTTCGAAGCTGTGCCGCCAAAGGGCCGGCTGCCGAAGCCGACTGTGCAGAATTTTTCCACCTTCGCAGCCTTGCCAATTCTGCTGGCAGCGGACCGTGTGGAGTTGGTGCCCCGCGTGAGCTTCAATCCTGACAACAACACAATCGAACTGGGCTTCCCAGGAGTTCACGTGACGCGGCCAGTTGCCTTGCTTGCCGGATCGCTGTGCTGCCTGGCCCTCAACCCCAACCGCAACGCGAAGCCAGCCAAGGAGGACGAGTCTGGAGCGGAGAGTGAGGGGGACGACGGTGGGCCGGAGAAGCGTGTCAAGAAGCGCCGCAGGCGCACTCCCAAGCAGATGGCGCTGACACCCAAGCGGGCTCGCAAGGCGAAGGCCCCCAAAGCAACTTGAGCCAGAGTTTTCTGAGGCATGCGAGGCTGATAGCAGAGACTGCGTCTCCTCCTGCACTAGTCGTGCGTCCTCACTGCATAGAACAAACTCCTTGACTCTTACCATTTTGGACCCTGGGGACTGTGGTGACTGTTGGGACCTGAAAATTGTACAGATGTGCACCAGCAGCCTTAGCGGAGCAAGCCAGCAAACACGCTAAGACACTAACAGACACTGTTGTCAGCTTTCGCGTCACCTGTTGGGGCCCCAGGGGGTGAGAGGCAATCTGTCGCCACGCGCATCACGGCCGTCAAAAGCAAGATTTGCCTGCAAAGTTTTAGTAGGGTAGCTGGTGCGAGCGCAGCATGCCACACTCATGCAGCTGCACACGTGTCGGCTCAAAGCGCCGACGGGTCTTCGTGTGACTGGAGGGTAGCAGTCATGCCGCGCTCCCGCATTTGGAGTGAGTCTGCCTTCCACCGCCCCGATTCTAGGGCTGTGTCAGCTGCCGGACTTCCAGCCTGGGTCGCCCGGTTCACATTGACAATATTTGGCATCACCCTCTTCTTGACGAGCCCATGCTTCAGGGACCCTACCTTGTCGCTCAGCTGTCAGGGATTCACAATGCAACACTCTCGTCCCTGCCCTAAGTTGTTTTTGCCTGAGGTTGCCGGACGTGGTGGAACTGTGGTCCGGGGTGGGCTCTGTAGTAGCTGCTGCAGAGCGGAGAGGCCTGGTAGGCCAGGCCATGGACATCTTGCTGACCAGCGACCACGATATGAGAACCCGTCGCGGGTTTGGGCTTGCCCTGGCATGTGTTCTGGCTCTTCCCCCAGGTGGCCTTCTGGTGATGGCGCCTGATTGCTCATCTTTTGTTTTCCCAAACAGTTCCCGATGCCAGCGCAAGAAGCATCGCTGTGCTGGAAATGAGGGATATGGGCCAGTTCGTGCTGGGAATGACATGGCGTGCGAGGCGGCCTTCTTGCTGGCTGTGGCCGCTGCTCGGGGTCTGTTCGTGGCCTTGGAGAACCCGTCGGGAAGCAGCATGTTCAGGTTCCTGCGGCCATGGCTGCGCGTGGTGCCGGGCGGTCTGGCGTGCATTGCCCATCGCTGCGCGTATGCTGATGAGCCAGCAGGCCACCGCTGGTTTAAGCCATACAAGTTCTTGGGACACGGGCCCCAGGGCAAGGATGCCTGGATCGAGAAGGCCATGAGGCGCTGTCACTGCCCAAGCCAGAAGCATGTGCCGCTCATGAAAAAGAGTGCCAGTGGGGTCTCAGGCACGCCAGGCTTGAGCAAATCCGGTCACTACCCCAAGCGCCTTGGAGAACTGCTCGTGAGTGCGTGGCTTCAAGCCCGGGCCAGGGTGCAGGAGGAGGATGAGGACAGCTACACCAGCTACTCAGAGTCCAGTGTGTCAGACAGCGAGCCAGAGGAGAGCCTGATGAACTCTTCCAGCTCCGGCGCAGAAGGCAATTCTCCTGATGCATTTCAGCCAGGCAGCTGGTGATGGTCTTGTTGGCAAGCTGCACTCAGATCATGGGGACAGTGATCTCATGGGGACTATGCTCTCATGGGGACTGTGGGGCCTCTAGAAGCTTCTAGTCAGCTTTGTACAGAGAACCCGCGAGTCAGCCGTTGCACAGAGCTTAGTGGGAAAAACTTGGAGTCGTCTGCATGCTTGTGAATCAGCACTGTCTCGAGGCTTGCATGACCGCAGCCTGCCATGACGGCTAAGCGCAGGTAGAGCACAAGCATCAAAGATGGCGGCAGCTGCAGAGTTTCAGCCGGAGGCATGGGAGGCCTGCAGGGAGGATGATGACGAGTTCATGCCTCGACACTGGGAGGCTGGCGCCCCTCCAGCTGTGCTCCTTCCCCACCAGGGCCCGCTAGCAGGACCTCAAGATGATGAGTTTGTGCCGGCTGTCTGGCAGGGCCAGTCTCTCACCCAGCATCCTCCGCCTCTGCTGGGGCCCAGCAGAGCGAGAGGAGGGAAGCGCAAGGTGGCAAGCCTGGACGAGTCATGCTGGTGTCCAGGCCAGCCAGGAGCTCCCCAGGCAGACCCTGAGAGGGCAAGTCCTGAGCATGGGAATTCTTATCAACGCAATGGCTGCAATCCTGATCGCATCAGAGAAGTCCTCAGCCACCCACAAGCCCAGTGCAGATGCCGCCGCCTATGCCACACTCGGCTGAGTCAGCGCCGCGTCTTGGCGGTTTGCAGGGCTTTCTGGCAAATGTCAGATGCAGAACGGGCCCACATGCTTAGAGCAGTTTACTTCGCTGCGGCTGGCCCAGACCCCGCAGGCAGGGCTGGGAGTGAGGAATCTGAGAGCCATGAATCGCGCTGCAAGCGGCAGTGGCAACTGTGTGGCCAGCAGGTGTGCCTGTCCAATTTCGCTTGCATATTGGGCACTTCGTTCGCAGTCTTCGATCTGGAAGCAAATCTACGGACAGCCAGACAGACGCGCTGGCAGCCTGTCAGCCCGGTTCACCCAAGCAACTGCAGCTAGCATGGCGGTGGACTGGTGGCTGTGGGAGCTGTACAACAGCGCTGCAGAGCCATTGCCAGATCACCCAAAGCCAAAGAAGGCGGTCAAGACCAGCTCTGCCTCTCACTTCTGGATGGACGAGCCTTGGCTGCGTCCTGGAGACAGAGTGGCAAGCGAGGTGGCCAGCGAGGGGAGCTCGGACGAGTTCCAGCCTGAAGATCTTGGCATTGGGTGGGTCCACCCACCCTATGAAGGCATCCTTGCGCCTGGCAATGGGAATGCTGGGGACCACGCAAGCTGCGCCGAGCATGGGGACGGTGGGGACCAAACCAGCCTGAAGTGGAGCCCTGACCATCCTGTAGTTGACCAGCTTTCAGCATGGACGGTGGCCTCCCAGCGCCCCTCCATCGGCCTCCCAGTGAGATACTTGCAGCACACGACGTTGCACAGCTTGTACTGGCTTTTCACAGCGAGCTGGGACACCATCAAAGAGCACCTGCCATCAGGCGCCACCAAGCAAGCCAAAGACGGCCCCCCTTCCTATCGCACATTCTGCGCACGGTGGAAGTGCTGGAGGCGGTACATCCGCATCAGGAAGAGGAGCCAGCATGCACAGTGCACCATTTGCTGGGACCTCCAGCGCGCAATGGAGGACGCCAAGAGCTCCTGGGCAAGTCGTTTGGAGGCAGCCAGGGCCCTGCGAGCCCACCACTCCAAGCAGTACTTAGACCGCTGCGTGTACTGGTCGCTGCGGTGGGCCGCAAGCACCGGCAAAAATGTGCTCTGCATCAACATCGACTCCATGGACAAAACGAAGTTCGCATACCCCAGGTTTCCCACAGCCCGACTGCCCAAGGCTGTGGAGGGGTGCCTCCGGCCCAAGCTAGTCTTCACAGCTGCGCTGGCCCACGGGTACTGCTACAACTTGTATACCAGCGAGGAGAACTTGTTCCACGGTGGCAGCCACTTCATCGAAGTGTTGCCAGCCCCTCAGCGCTGCAAAGTGTTGTTGCGCATCCTTCCCCAGCGCCCTGTGCCCCAGGTCAAGGACGATTGAGGACGTGGCGCGCATCTGCAGGGAGCGGGGGCAGAGCCTGCCAGACCACCTGCTGATTCAGTCGGACAACACTGTGGCGCAGGCCAAGAACAAAGAGGTCATGGCAGTGTGTGCAACTTGGGCAATGTTGAAACTGTTCCGCACGGTCACGGTCAACTTCCTGACAGTGGGGCACACGCATGAAGACTGCGACCAGCTGCTCCTTGCCAGGCAGTCTAGAAAATCGAGGGTTGAGTCAGGGGGCCCCAACTCCGGCTCACTCCGGGTCTGCAAGTGAGGTTTGGCTGTGTGACCTCCTGGCTGCTGGACCTGGTCAAGTTCAACAATGCGACAGACATCCTGAAATATGTGCAAGGCAAGCTGGAGGACAAGATGGCAGCATGGCAGGCGCACTGCGTTGGCACAGTGACTGCTGACTTGGGTATTGGCTGCAAGGGGAGCGGGAAAAAACATGACTTGACAGGAGTGCGTCCACGCCAAACACCTGCACGGCATCCGTGACTGGAAGGGCTGGGTCGGCGAGCTCCTGGCTGCCCCTTTGTCGTGGCACAGCGCCTTCATGAACCGTCAAGGTGTGGATGCCCCGCACTCCTGGTGTTTCAAGGCAAGGCGTGACCTGTGGCAGACTGAACTGCGCAATGGGACAGAAGATAGATGGTGCGCCAACTCCAGTGACATCATGCTGTGCTTGAAGGCTTACATGAGTGACACACGGCTGCAACAGCCACCTCTCCAGTGCTTGCAGGAGAGGCAACACTCTCCGCTCATTCGCGAAGTGCTGCCCAGCCAGCTTGTAGCGCACAAGCCGCTGCCAAAAACTTTGATTGACAACTACCTGGCGCTCGCGCAGTGGGCTGAGGAGGCTGGCTATGCAGAAGCTGCGCAAGCACTCACGGAGCTGGTGGAGACGCGGCGGTATGAGCGAGCCCCGCTAGGCTGGCTTAGGGAGCCTCGCGAGTATGCTCAGGACACTTCCCTGGACCGGAATCCGTTCCACTCCCATTTGCCACGGAACACTTGGCGGCTGGTGATGGGATAGGCAACTCTTCCTGCCGTCGCCATCAACTTGTAGGGGAAGTTTGATTTAAGGGAAGTTTGATTTAATTTTCTTGGGGCAACGGGGACATGGGGACCCTGGCAATCTGGGGACACTCTGAGAGTGCCGCTCAGTGCTTGGGTTCTGGCGGCAGCATCAGCGGCCTGGAAAGAGAGGTGCGCTGACAAGTAGTTAGAGAGCCTAGTGACAGACAGGGCTGGAGTGGATTTCAAAGAAAGCAACCCATGCAGTTGATTGTGAGCCAATTCCGCTCCAACTTTGAGTCATTTCCCCTCCGCCCAGGTGCGGCACAGCCCAGCCTCACCATCCAACAACCAGGCCTGGGAGCTGGCAAAGCTTAATTTTTGGGGGGGCTCAGTCTAGGCACGCTTTCTGGAAGGGCATTGATATCAGGCAGGGGGGTGTGTGAGTGGGGGAACTGCTCCACAAGCGAATTCATTTCCAGCCCCCCTGAAGCAGGTAACTCCAAGAAGCCCCCCCCTGTGTGGGAATTCAGGTTCCTTTTTTTTGTTGAAGTGCATGGGGAACTGAACTGCTATGGAGCTGGTCCGAATCATGCTTGCTGGGGATTCAGTTCCCCGCCAGCCCCTTTTTGAGTGCGAACTGGATGGCCGGAAAAATGCTCTTCAGGCTTCAATTCCCCGCAGGTCCCGTCCCTCCAAGTCTGTGGGGAATTGAACTGTGCACAAGATGGTTCAATTCCCCACCACCACCTGTTGTTTAGAGCTGCCAGGTGGCCCCCCCCTTACATGGGGAATTGAACTGCTTCACGAGATGATTCAATTCCCCGCCTTCCCCCCCCCCGAAGTGTGTGGGGAATTGACCTGCTCCAAGCAAACACTCCTTCACTCCCCGCCAAGTTCCCCCCCCCCCCCGACCTCATTTTATTCACCAGGCCCCTTCCCCTAAAAGCGCGTGCTCCTAAGACCACAACACCCCCCTTTCCGCAAAGGAATTGAATTGCAATAAGAGAAAATTCACCCCCCCCCCCCCAGTGAGTGAGCCAAATCAAACTCCTTGAGGATTCAGTTGAAAGCCCCTCCGTTGCTGGGGAAGTGTGGATCCACAGGATGTGCAATGCCGTGCCAAGCCCCTCCCACAGCACGTGAGGAAGTGAACTGCTCCAATTCCCCAAATTCTGCACCTCTCAAACTGAACAGCCCCCCCAGAGATGCTTCCCCTTCCCAGAAGTGCGTCGGAAACTGAACTGCCTCAAAAGATGCTGTTACTGTTGGGGTTCAATTCTCTGCCACCCTGAGCTGCTCTACAGGAACCACAGCACGCCAGCTTGGGCTCGGTTCGTGGCCCGGCCCTGTTCAAATGAGGCCCTGGAATGGAATTCGCATGGCTGGAGCAGCAGCCTGTTCAGGCTGGAGGCAAGTCGACGGTTGTTGGTTGATGTGACCCTGCGCATGCTAGATAAAGCCAGTCTGGACAGACCCCCAAAGCCTGCGTCGGGCGCAGCGTCGGGCGCGTCGTCGGGCGCAGCGTCGGGCGCGTCGTCGGGCGCGTCGTCGGGCGCGTCGTCGGGCGCGTCGGGTACGGAGTCGGGTGCGAGGAGTCGGTCAGGCGTGTCGCGTCGCTCTCTGCATTCCCCCTCGGGCCCCGAGCAGCGGTCGTGGGTGCCAATCCTGGCGGGCGCGGCAACGTCACCATCAGAATCAACACACTGGACTGAGGTCTCAGGAGCTACAGGATCAGTTCAAAGTTCCAAGCACGCTAAGACTAACAAGGCTGCTGACTGTTCCCAAAAACACATCCGATTCTACGCCACTTTTTTTTGCTCAGCTGCTGATCCCCAGATCCCCAAGTCCCCAGGTCCCCAGGCCCCACCGCTCACTTGTTGAATGTGCGAATGACACGTGGCACCCGAGTCCCCAGATCCCCAGGTCACTGGTGCTCCCGTTGGATCAGCTGGATCCAGCGCTGGGCAGTGCCAGTGGAGTAGGCCCTCCAAACTTGGGCACAAGGACGGGCGTCTTGCACCATCCTGGCAGCTTCGTGAAACTGACAGCCCAGCCCCACCATCAGGGCCACTGCAGCTGCTAGGGCAGAGCGATGCCTGCCCTTGCGACAGTGGAAGAGCACCCCGTGGCCAGCCATGACTGCCTCGTTGACCGCAGGGCGAACGCGCTGGTCGAAGGCCGATTTGGCCTGCGGCGCATACCCGATGTTCCACCTCAAGTTGTGCTGAGTTTCCGTAATTTAGTGCTGTTTAAAGACAGAAGCCACGTCACAGAACATATGGACTTGAGAAGCCAAGGCTCTGGACATAGCGGAGATCTGCCACTTGCGGCGGATCGTAAGGCATGCGGTCGAGGCACACCACGACGAGGCGCACTCCCTGCCGCCGAAGCCTGGGCAAGTCTGTGCCGCTGTTCAACCCGCCCACGAAGAAGCGGGCGCCATTCTGCTGACTCCAGACGGCTGATGGCATGACCTGCGCGGAGCGGTGTCATGACCCATGAGTGCAAGTACCAGTCCTCTCAAACTGCTAACGATGTTTTTTGTCTTCCCTGCGCCTCATCTCCAGACCCTCCTGCCCACTCGTCAAAGTGTGGGTTGGAATCCTGCTGGCCCTCGCCCTCCTGCTTGCCCTCCTTGCCCTCCTGCTTGCCCTCCTGCTCGCCCTCCGGCTGGTCCTCCTCATCCACCACAGTGACGGCTGCAGGCCCGGCAGCTGAGGCCTCCTCAGCTGCATCGGCTGCTGAGGTTCCTGGCCCGAGTGCTGAGGTCCCCTCAGCGGCCCCCTCTGCAGCAGTGTCAGCCTGGAGAGGACGGCGCACGCCTGAAGCTGACAGAACAAGAATGGAAAGCATGAGGTGGTCGAAGAGTTGGGCCAAGGTTAGAGTTGCCTAAAACAGGAAGTGGTGTATGAAAAAATGCACGACTGGCTGCGATGCCGAGCCACCTGGCGGTGGTCGGCGGGCATTGCGGCGTAGCTGAGCTGGCCGTCGGGCTGCAAGTCCGCGCCGGGCCCTCTCGTTGTTGATCTCCTGGATGCGCTGCGCAGACAAGACAGGAGGGCTGTGATGGCTGCGAGGACGGCCTCGATCAGGACTGCGAGGACGGCCTCGATCAGGACTGCGAGGACGGCCTCGATCAGGACTGCGAGGACGGCCTCGATCAGGACTGCGAGGATGGCCTCGGTCAGGACTGCAACGATGAGGATGGCGTCGGCGTCCAGCAGGACTGCTGCGAGGGCTGCGGAACCGAGGGGGGGTGGCTGGGGAGCGGGGGCGTCTGTGATGGCGTCGGGGTGACGGGGATCGCCTCCTCAACTGAAACCATAGGCCCCGAAGTTGACAAGGGGAATGTGAAGTTCGATCTCTAAAAGATTCTAAAAGTAAAAAGAAAACTGGGAACTTTGTCCTGCGCCGTGATCGGCTGCGCGAGTCACGATCTAACCCCAGAGCATGCCACAGCTCCACAAAGAGGCGGGCGCGGCCAGACATTGCCAGGTCCCCACTAGTCCCCAGCTCCCGAGCGCTGAGCCAGACTCATGGTATGCATAATGTTGCTGTAGCAACTAATAAGCAGATCCCTACCCAACCCAAACAGCCCCTTCCTCCCCTGTCTGCTGTCGCTGTTGGGCCATCTCCACTGGTAACGGGCTTTTTTTCTAGGTTTTGACTGGGCAAACGCACTCTGCAAGCGACCAGCCCTCTCCCTGTCAAATCGCGCCAGGCGCACCGGTGCTCCGAGACCAGGATGATGAAGCTCAGAGATGATGGCCATCTACATCTTTCAGCGCGAAGGGCCGGCGCAAAATGAGATTACTGATACGGCACGAGTTGGCCCATGTTATCCCAAAAGAGCGGAAATTGGCGCGAAATGAGCGACAATCTGTGGGAAATGAATTTGCGGATGCACGCCAAAACATGTTCCAGCTGCGTGTTTTTCCCACTAGTGCCTAGTTGAGCGTCTTGTGGGTGATTTTGCGTGAGACAGAAAAAATACTGAATCTAAACAAAGTGCGTGTTTGCTGAATCTAGCTGCCCCCTAAAACAATTAAGAGCCCCACGAGTGAGCCCCCATCAATCTATATACTGAGGGTCAGGCTAAGGGGGGGGGGGCAAGTAAATCCAACCCTCCAACGTTCTGTGGGGAACTGAATCCTGATGGCTGGAGAGTCCCCAATCCCAAGTTCAAGCCACTGCCGACTCCTGCCAGGACCCGCTTGACAGGCACTGAACCAGTGAGGTGGTCTCCCCGAGCAGTCAATTCCCCCTCACACAGGTGCGAGTCAGAGTAATCCAAGAGCCACCAATGGAATCTAAGTTGTGTTTTCCTGAATCTTAGTTGCGATTGTTGGAGTTTATAATCTATATGTCTACCGATATATATGTATATATATATATATATATGTATATCTGTCTATGTGTCTATCTAATGTATGTATCTATCTATCTATCTATCTACCTATCGAACTAATATGTATTTCATTCTATCTATCTCTATCTTTATTTTCTCTCTCTCTCTCTCTCTTTACCTATCTGGATATATATATATATATATCAATCTACCTATCTATCTCTCTCTCTCTCTATCCAGCTACCTACCTATCGATCTACCTATCTATCTCTCTCTCTGTCTATCTATCTAACTATCTATCTGTCTATCTAACCCTTTTCCTAGCTATCTACCCACCTACCTACCTACCTACCTACCTACCCCCTTCTACCTCTGGGGCCAAGTGAAGTGATACGTTGAGGAACTAAAACTGTACGGAGCAGTTACTGCTATCGTGCTTTTGGAAGTCTATTTTTAGGGTATTTGGGGGGGGGGGTTGCTAGTATCGGTTGTTGATGGTTGCTTCTGGGAAATATATAAAAACCCGGGTTTCTTGCACTTTTTGTGGCTAGCCGGCTGCGTTCCCAGCATTACATCTCTGGTATTTTCTGTGTTTGGTCAATGTTGCATGTCTGAAAGTCTTAAAATCTTGAGCGCGAAGATTGAGTCTGTTCCTGTAAGCTGTGTAGTTGCATCCCTTGCATGTCCAGCATCCTCAGCATCTGGGACATGAAAAACAGGAAAGTGCAAAGAAGGCCTTGTTGTACTTACAAAAAATGGGGCCTTGCTTTCATACCCTTTCGGGGGGTGGTTTAAAGAGTAGACCCTAGTGTTCTTCTCCTGTAACGTGTTCAGCCCTGCGGCCGAAGTCAGAGCGGCGTTGTTTGCATTCTCGTTAAGAGCCCCATGTCACCGAGGCACAAAAAACAACTTTTTCCTTACCCCAAATTCGAGGCACCCTTTCCTTCCACGTGTTAAGAGCCCCATGTGACCCAGGCAGAAAAATATCTTTCCTTACTCCAAATTCAAGGCACCTCAGAGCGGCTTTGTTTGTTCCCCTTCGTTAACAATCCCGTGTACCTCAAATTCAAAGTACTTGCAGCCGACGTCAGAGTAGCGTTGCGTTAAGAGACCCATGTGACCTAGGCAAAAAGACGTCTTTTTCCTGACCCCAAACTTGAGGTACCCTTTCCTTCCACGTGTTAAGAGCCCCATGTGACCTAGGCCAAAAAAAACGTCTTTTTCCTTACCCCAAATTCAAGGCACCTCAGAGCGGCGTTGTTTGTTCTCCTTCCACGCGTTAACAATCCCGTGTGCGTTGCTTGTTCTCCTTCCAGGCGTTAAAAGACCCATGTGACCTAGGCAAAAAGACGTCTTTTTCCGTACCCCGAATTCGAGGGTGTTTTGTTCTCCCTCAACGCATTAAGAGCCCGATGCGACCTAGGCAAAAAAAACCGTCTTGTTCCCGGCCCCAAATTCGAGGCACCCTGCAGCCGACGTCAGAGGGGCGTTGTTTGCGTTCTCCTCCCACGCGCTAAGAGCCCCACTTGACCTAGGCAAAAAAGAAAAGTTGTTTTCCCTACCCCGAATTCAAGGCACCCTGCAGCCGACGTTAAAGGGGCGTTGCCCACGCGTTAAGAGCTAGCGAGCTGACTTTGTGCAGCGCTGGTCTGGCAATTGTCCCTTGAGCCAGTGCTGACTCCAGATTGATCAGCCCCAGTCTATTAATACGGGGCTGTCCACTAGCGTCGGCGGATCGCGTAGCGATTTCAATAACAACTCCCCCCCGAACAATAACTCCCCCCCCCATTCGAACCCCCCCTCCCAAACAACAACCCCCCCCCAACTTGTTGTTCGAAGCCCCCCCCCCGCTCCCAAACACACCCCCCCCCCAGTTCCGCCCCCGAAACAACAACCCCCACCCCAACTTGTTGTTCGACCCCCCCAGAACAACAACCCCCCCCCATCTTCTTGCACTTCTGTGGTTACCAAGATTGGAATGTTAGATTCTATGCACAGGCTTTGTTGGAAACACCAGCTTGTCTGTTTCTGCCAAACATCGAATCCCACAATGACAACTCGCTTTGACGCTGCTTGGGAAGAAGGAAGGTCAAAACATGTCTTAGCCAGGGTCATACCCTTCATCTTTGCCCCAGCCGCGAGTTGCTCACTTGCCCAAAAGGACCCAGAACTAAAAATGTGAAGGTAAACCTTTTGGGGCCATGACTAAAAAGTTGTCAAAAGGTCAAAAGGTTAACCTCTTGGGACCAAACTAAATACATGGCTAACCTTATGGAGCCATGAATAAAAATGGACCAAATTCGAAGAAATGGACCAACAAGGGCAAAGCCAAAAAGGAAAACCCAAGAAAAACTTTACCTTTTGGCACAAAAAAGGGGCAAACCCAAAGGGTCCAAAGGTCGATTCGCGTTGAGCTGAGGTTAATTACGCCCAGCCACGGAAGCTGTCACGCATCGAGCCCAGCAGCGAGGGCTTCAGCAGGACCTTCTCCGTCAACTCAGAAAGCCCCAAAGCACCGGCCGACGCCAACAAGTCGTTTGGCAGAAGCCAGGGTTTGAGGCACTCGTGTGTGTGTGTGTGTGCTTTTGTTTCTTTGTTAGATGGGAGTGTCCCAGAATTCTTTACGGGAGGTTCTTGACTTTCAGGCAAGCCGCGACCGAAAATGGGCCAGTGCCCTTGGGTGATTGCGAGCTTGACCCTGCTAAATCGATGCATGAAGGCAAACCAAACTGCATCTGCAGTGCTCGGCATATGATGCATGTCGCTCCTGCGCGAGCCCGACGAATCCCTTGTCTAGAACATATCTTATAGTCATAATATGACATGCGCTGTGTGGCGGAAATATGGGATCGGATATCAGCAGCGCCTCTTCGTTCATTATTGAGTTGCAGGTGCATGTTTTTGCATTTGTCACACGTGGAGATTCCAATGCCGAGGAATTCCTAGGCGTTCTGGTTCTCAAGACGGTTTAGGCGTTTTAGGTGTTTTGCGATTTTTTGCGCTTTTTTTGCGGGCGTTTGCCCCTTTTTTTGCGGGCGTTTTGCGGCAATTTGCGGGCGTTTCCTGTTTCTAGGCGTTTGCGGTAATTTGCGGGCGATTGCGTCCAAAACAGGGCCAATGCCGAGAATGACTAGGAATTCCTTGACGTTTGAATCTCCAGGCACTGCTCCCCGTCCCTCGCCCAGCTGGGGCCAAGGCAAAGTCACTGGCCAGCAACAAGCGAATCGCCTGGCTCTCAAAACAAAAAGAGCTATGCTTGGTTGCCGTTGATCCCCTTGCAAAAAGTTTAACTTTTTGGGGTTTTAGTGGACAACACCTTTATTTCCCAAAAAGTTGAAGTCTAAAGATCCAACCCAATAGCAGTCAAGTATGACTCCGCAAACCAAATGAGACATCTACCTTTGGGTATCGATTTCAGTCAGAACGGAGCTGTACCCATGCTTTACGTGGGGATGCACGTCCACCAACCCATGTACCCATGTCGGAGGTATCCTGCCTCATCCGGTGGTTTGGTGGTCGTTCAATTCTGACATGATAAGAGATCCCAAGTTTTAGATCTCATCGTCAATATTTGTTTCGCCCTTGTCGCTTGCTTGCGCGTGCGGCAAGGGCCCCAGCGACAAGGGCCCGGAGCATTCCCTACACATGCGACTGATGTCCGAGCACATGATTTTCCCAAGAGACCCTCAGAAAATCTTGGAAATGAGCAATCTGAACATTCTGACTAGCTTTGGGGGTCACACTGCTGAGGAATTCGGTTTGGAGCAGAATCCTCAGTTTGTCCAAAGTTGCAGCCCCTTTCGGCCACCGCGACGAGAACTTTCCCTATTAACACAACACCTCTGGAAAGCTCCATGGGAAAACACTTGTTGCCTGAAAGAATAACCGGGCGATCTCTTGCCATTCCCCGTGTGCACCGGCACGAGCGGTGGATGGGCCTGTCCGGAGGATGCTCCCCTGTTGGTTTCTTACCAATCCGTTTTTTGACGCTATGTTGCAGCACCAAAACCCGACGAAGGCACAACACCCTCAGGAAGGCATTTGCAAGAAAGAGGTGTTCAACAAAAAAAACTGGAAGCGGGCAGGCCTCTTCAAGAGAATTGCCTTCCAAGGCTCCATGGTCCTTCGACAAACAAAGTCTGCCCATGCCACCCCCATCGCCCCATCCGCCTCCGGACCCTCCACCACGAAGTGGGGGCCATGGGGCCCCAGGCCAACCCCCGGCTCCTTGAGATCTCGGAACTCCGCCTGAGGCGAAGGTGCGCGGGGAATTGGGTGGGGGGGCGGGGGTGGCTTGACAGGACCACCGCACTTTTCCTGAGCTTCTCGGGTAATGCCGGAAAGCGGGCAAAACGCAGAAGGAGGTCAAGGATCTGTGAACGCCAAAAGCCTTGGATGCCTTCCATGGGTTTTTGTTGTTGAAGGGGGGCGGGGGGACCTTTGGAGGACCATGGAGGACCCTGCGTGATAAGCGCGGCGAACAAAGCAGCCAAGAAGCCACCGCAGGATCAAAAGCGTCCTGTCGCAAATCGCGGCGAGGCGAAGGGCCAAGGGGAGAGGGCGACAATAGAAACAAGGCAAGGTGCCAACAGGGTGCGCAAAACGTGCATTATCAACGTATCACCGGATCAGGATCGTTGGCGTAGAGGACGCGTACTCCAATGTTGCAAAAAGTTAATCCTGAACACACCCAGTCTGGCCACTTAAATGCCCAGCTTACCCGTCCTCGACCCAGTGAATGCTCACACCACGTGCGGCCAGCTCTGCTTGATCTTCATCTCCTGGAAAAGGCGGCTGAAACGAGAAGGCGCAGAACGCACAAAGTGGTGCACAAACAGAAAGCAACAGCTGTCAAGCACACAGGGCCTCAAAACACATCCGGCCAAGGTGCAAACAAGGGAGGGAGTGAGCACTGCTCATGCTAGCCAAGGTGTGAGGCATGAACTTGAACTTGTTCACCACATGGCCCAATGAGCTAAACTTGGATAAACCAATTTCAAAGGGGCTTCCATCCACATCATGAGCCTTTTTGTTTAGAGCTGAGTGAACTCCTTAATATAGTTGCAAAGTCATGAGCCAGGGAGTGAAACCACCTACTAGAATGGGCAGAGCAGGATCTGGGCGCCGCTCATCTGCGCACCGCCTGCCTTTTGTCTCGGCACGCGCACGTGCAGTTGCAAATGCAGTGTTGCATGGGCTCGGACAATCTCCCATGAGCCGACAGGAGATGAGGATCAGCAAAGGGTTCCTCTTTGTGGCTAGCTGGCCAGAAACCAGGCAACCCACGAAGAAGTACGCAGGGCAGGCGTTGATGCCAAGCCACTTTCTTCCACCTTTGAGTTTCAGCAGGGCAAGGGACAAACGCCTTGCGACCATTGCACCCAGCAAACCAAACAGCACTCCGTCAAGCTTCGTCCTCTTGAAGCAGTTGACGGGACGCAACTTCTTGGACTGCTTGACAGGAAACCTGAAGCTCGGCTTTGGCAGCTTTGGCTTTGGCCGTGGTTCCAAGTCCTTCTAGAGCCTGCAGCAAAAAATGCTCGGACACGTAAGCTCGGACACATTGGCTCCAGGCACACGGGCACCTCCTGTCCGGCAACCGCTCAATAGCTCAGAAATCTCTGCAACCACTCCAATTCGAATGCCTCGCCCTGAACATGCCGTCGCGATTGGCAGTGCTCGGGCTCTCGCGGGACCTCGTGTGGGAGTTTTCATACGGCGGCCAAGCCATGGGCGGAGATCGGACCACCTGCCAGCCTCCGACATCTCAAGGCACAGGTCGAAGGCAGGTCTCGCGCGCCAGTCGCGAGCCTGGGCCTCAGGGTAGCACCACCTTCTTTGCAACGATCAGATTCTTTGTGGTGATGGTGCGGTCGATGCTGTGCAGCATGTTTGCTCCAAACCTCGCCGACAAGGCGCCGCACCTGAGCACCATTTGGAGGTGTGACGACTAAACGAAATGCGACAGAATGCAAAGTCCCCCAAGTCCCGCTGGACTTTCGATGGAGACAACAAGCGCAGAAGCAATAACCAACATTGCCCGCAGGCTGGAGATGAGCCAGGGGTCTCTCATGTCATCTACATCCTGTCAACGTACTTGCTTTCTGCATTTTCGGCCACCAAATGGAACATGTATCTTCACTCTACCTCAGTCGGAGGTAACAAAAAAGCCAAGATGCATCAATGGGTAGTGTTCCTCGGCCTCCAGGTGCGTGCTGCCTGGCACAGCACAGCGGTCCTTCCTAGTTTCAATAGAATTGCATGTCGCATCCATCCCGCCTGGTGCAGAATTCGTCCACCAAGCAACTCCCGGAATTCCAAGCTGAAATCCAAGGTCGTTGATTGATGCTTGATCTGCTAAAATGCGTCCGTTTCCCCAACCAGCATGCGTGTGACAAATCTGACCAAACGCCAATTTCAGGTCCTGGCCGAATTAATTGATTGCCCTATCTCCAAACCCCGCGTCCCTGGCCCCCTGCTCTCGCACACTTCGCGAACCCGCTCACATCAAGCATCTGGCATGTTGGCAAATGATGGTCTACTCAATAGAGGCCCAAAAGCAGAACACCGGGCAAGAACCCAGGGGTACATGGCAACCCCTACGGGAGGTCCTAGAAATTGTTTTTTGTACCTTGAAGGAAAACCATCAAAGCAGTTTTCCGCTCAATGGATCACCACAGATAGTCAATGGGAAAGCAGGAGTAAATCACCAAGATGCTGCCTAGCACAAGCTACGAATGCAGTGCTTCATCCCAACCGTTGGTTTGCCAGAACATCATGACTGCCACATCCATAGCTCGACAAAACCAAGTAGTACAACCACCGACTGAAATGAGCAACAAGAGTCTTGGCAGGTGTGAGGCAATTACATGCAAGCCGTCTTTGTTTGAAGTCAAAGCTCGCAAGGATGCAGTACGCACCCAGACCGCTAAGGACAGCTGTCAGCGGCATCTTGCTTTGACACCCAGCTTTCTTGACCATCGGCTAAAACAACCAGTCGTTTGTTAGCCCTGCAGCGAGGAAAACAAACGGACGCCGTCCAAACAACCGGCGTTTAAAACATGTGGTTCTCCTTGGGCATGAACGCCAGGGAAACCGCACGTTTTGGGGCAGGTTCTCTTGGAGACAGCATGTTGAATTGAAACGCTGTGACCGTATGCAGCCGCTGCTGCCTGGGAAGTAGAGGCGTCGCCGCATGCAACAGGGCACCACTGCCCACGAGCTGCCCAAATCCTGGCTAAAGTGGAACAAAGCAAAATGTGTTGCAAACCCCCAGGGACTGTTGAAGGCAGAATGGATGTTGTTTTAACAACAGATTGACTTTTGGTTGAAACATGTCAACACAGGCTTGTCGGCTGAAGGGCATTGATTGAGCAGGAACAAAGGCAACCAGGTCGACTCTCTTTGAGTGGCTTCAATGCTTCTACCCCGAAACTACACCCAAAAATACTCGTGGTATGTTGTGCAACTGTTGGCCAGGTAGCAGAATATGAAGCCTTTGGCGCACAATGAGTGGACTTTCATAGCAATCACGTCGTAGCGACATCCTGGTGACAACTGACTACAGCATTTTTCCCCTAAGGAGGTAGGATGCCTCTTGTATTCTCTCATACCCCATCCATGAACAGCCTGAATGGTCCAAAGGGTTGCTCTTGCTCCTTACGCCGCGCGTCGCCCAGTGCAGTCTTCCCTGAATGTAAATGACAAGCCCACACATGCATATTGCACAAGCCACATTTGTCTCAAAATCGATGGTTTTTTCCGTTGAGTTTTGAAGTGCAATGCAGAAGCTTGGTTGCTGCTGACCCCCCTGCAAAAAGATTAACCTGTAGGGGGTTTAGTGGAAAACCCTTTGGTTTCAACCAAAAAGTTAAAGTCTAAAGATCCAACCCAATAGCAGTCAAGGCTTGAACGGGGTTTGGGGGTTGCCTCAAACAAGGAACCCCGACACCCACAGAGCAGCCGCCCACACCTCTGCGAGCTGCAGAACGTCGAGCGTCGCTTCATTGCCTGACAATTTGCAATAGGAATGGCGGGCAGTGCAAAGTTTTTTCCCACAGGCCCCGAGACCAAACGACAAAGAACACAGAATTGTCTATATATTTATATACATACACATGTCACATACACAGGTAGGTAGATATGTATATATATATATATGTATATATATATATATGTATATATATATATATATGTAAATACGCACTTGTGGCAAGTACCCTGCACCTTCAAGAGGCTTAAATTCAATGCACCACATCTCTGCGCTATTTCCCCCATGTGCAACAGGTTTAGCTGCTGGTGACAGGGTCCAAGGTTGAAGGACGTGTTGAATCAAGTCAATAAAACGCTTTGCTGGTTGGAGGGAACAGGTTCTCCCAACTAACAGTTTGAAGATTCTTATCAAATGGCAAGGTCTTGGAGTTGAAGGTTGTCAAACCTCAGATGCCCAGTGGCCATGGGAAAAAAGGGCATCCTTTGTTGGTTGGTTGAGTTTAAAGGGGAACACTTCCCAAAAAAAAGAAAAAGGGCGCCACTGGGTAAATGGCCATGTGTACCACCTTGTGGTGCATGTGAACGGTCCATCTGACGACCTCTTAGAAGCTCACAGCCCCAGCTTTGGTTCCCATCAAGCAGACTGCCCCTGGCACAACGAGATGCTAAGTTCAAGGATCCGCAAAACAAATGGAGCAAATGCCAGGCATCCCCCCGCGCCCTAGTGGCAGCCAAGGGTTTTTCAACCTTCTCCCATAGCAGGTGCTTGTAGGGGAAACAGGAAAACACCCACCGAACCGCCGGCTTTTCGAAGCGACGCTCAGTCGCTCGAGTCGCCAGGTTGCACGCATGGACGGCCACCACCAAACTCTGCGAGATGGAGCTGGCTTCTTCCACCCAGCCCTTGGCGTGGTTCAAATCTCCCGCCACAAACCTCAGCTCGTCCCGTGCGCAAGAAGCAGGGCGCAAGCACAGCCGCTATAGTTCGTACAGATTCACCCCGGCAATTCATGGCTTGGACTCCAAAAAAGGGAGAAGCGAAATGGAAAGGCACAAGCCCAACGCCTGTTGCTGCTGGGCAACTGTGAACTTGTCATTAAGTCACCCCTTGGTGGCTTGAACAAGTCCTATTGTCTTCTGACCCGCTGAGATCACTGGCCACAAACAGGCTTAAACTCTTTGGCCCGTTGCCAAAAGCGATGAAGAGACCTGCCAACATAAGTTTCAAGTTGTCTGACTCACCGGCTAGGGTAGACACTCTTGGATTCCGTCTGTGCCTATCGCTGGCTTCGTGCGCCGCAGGCCCCGGTCCACACTCACAAAGATTGGATCATATCAACTAGGTTCGACCCTTTTCACAGCCACAGATCCCCAACAAGTTGCTGTTTGTTGCTCTCGACCCCCAACCCAAGACCAGAAGCTGGAGCTCCAACAAAACCAACAAACAAAAACCAGGCAGGTGGGCCCTTTCCACATTTCTTCGCTCTGGCTCCTAGGTTGGCCTTTTTTGGGGCAGCTCCCTTCCATCCAGGGGGCTGGAAGTTGGCCAGCTCCCGGCCTGCCGCTGCCCAGGCCTCCAGCGCTTTGCCCGCCAAGGTTCGCTCCTGACCAAAGGCGATCGCCTCTTGCGCCTCTTGGCACCGCCAAGAATGGGAAACCGGCGACTCGGAATTCTCTTTGGGCTGTCACGTGGTTTGGTCTGCAGGGGTTACCTGCTCGTGGTCGAGTTGCTTTTGGGGGGTTACGGAAAAGAGCAAACCTGCAGGTTGTGGGGAGGGACTCAGCTGTTTCTTTGGGAGGTCCTCTTGGCACTACCAAAAATGGGAAACCGAAATGGGAAGCCAACAGGTCAAAAGGTCGATTCGCTTTGGACAACTGAGTTGAAATGAGGGAGCTGGGTCCTCAATGTCGACATCTTGAGGAAATGTTTACCACCTGAATCACACTATTTAGCGCCAGGCCTGTGCCAGGTTGTAGAGTAACCTCTGCTTGGGGGACCTGTTGATTGACATTCCAAAGGAAAGCACCAAGCAGCACTTGCCCCTCTGCTCGCACAAGCTATGATACGTACCAACTTGCCATCACAGCAACTAGATCTGAAAAGTGTGTTCTGACCAACCGCGAACTGAACATACTGTTCTCCCACCTTATCACCTGCGAATTTGTTTCTCGAGTGGGGATCGAGAGCCCATTAGTTGGCAAGCTCATGCAAGGCTAATGTAGGCTGATGGGTGATGGTTTTTTGTAGGCGTCCTTTTCGATTAAACAAAAAACACACACACACACACACAAAGGCCGGGCTGACTTGGCAAATGAGAACCAAACTGCAACCACTTTCTTTTCAAACCAAACCTACCTAAAACGACAGCTATGAGAGGCTATGAGCCCCCAAGGCCACCGCAGAAAAACCGAAACGAAAGCCGCGCCTCCAGATCCACAGCCCGCACCAGGCTGTCGGGAAAGCAATGGGCCAACATCATACCTGTCTCAATCTCAGTGAACGAGGATATGGCTCAGGCCAGGGGTTTGCCTCGTGGCTTGGCCCTCCCAAAACTTAAAACAAATGGTTTTGCACTGTTGTCCCTTGAAACAACTCCACGAACCACACCAAGGCCACCAAGAGCGGCAAATCAAGGCGAACATCTTTTGCCGGGCCACCCACGAGGCCGTGCCCACAGGCTGCGTCCAACACGCCTCAGCCCGAGCAAAGGCACTGCCTACATCTCAGGGCATACTCCAAGGCGGAGAAAACGGATGAGTAGGAGTGGCGTGGCCTTTCGGACTACAAGGGCAGAACCCCCGCCCCAACACGAACAACTGATTAACGGGAATGGCAAAATGAAGAGTGGCACTCCGTTTCTTTTGCCGATGTGACTGGGCGAAATGTCTAGTGTTTTTTTTGGACATGAAATGCCGCACATGCTTAGAACTATACTGGGGGTATGTGCAGCTGACATATTTATGTATATGTTTATATACATATATATAATATGTATATGCATGTTTGTATACATAGGTATATACATCCCCTATAGAATGACATTGAAATATAAGGGATGAACCCGAATGAACCAGGCTTCCTACTCTAGGCGCACACAGTTGAGCCTTTGTAGGGTAAATCTGTTGCTTTTTCCCTCCATGGTGCACCAAACCTTACCTTGCAAAGGTCTGAAGGTGTGCTGTGGGGAAACGAAAAATCCGTGACCTTCGTACTGCATCCGGGCGAACTGAACCAGGCTGACAAGATGGAAGCCGGAGGAAGGAATCGAAACCATGCGTAAGGTCGCAATGCGGTCGCTATGATTTGCTGGGCTCGGCAGGTCTGGCAGTTAAGGGCGAGCTTCGCAAATGGCTTCAAGCTTACCAGAAGTCTTACCAGAATAACTTTTAGGGACCAAGACTAAACATCGATTAAACCTAAGGACCTAGGAAACCATACCACAGCAAGCTATGACTTGGTGGGCCGCGCTGCACGAGCATGCCAACACGCTAAGAGCTTGCCATGTGATTTGACAACGTTCAACAGGGCGGCTTTGCAAAGGAAGGTGCAACAACCCAGCTCATTCTCTTTTGGCGCTTTGGCCATTTGGGCGGCCCGTTCTGGGCGCACCTTGGACTTTGGACTGGGATCACTTCAAGGCTGAGATCCACTAGGTGCCACAGCACGCAAACAAATCCACGTAATCGCGACGCAATAGCGAAAGGACTGCTAACTTGTTAAGCTTCAGCATATCCATTGTCTCCGGATTCTATGGTCTGGGTCGGCAGGTTCGAACATGGTCGCCTAAACAAGTCCCAGCTTCCCTCACCCCGACACCCAAACCTCTCACCGAGGCGCGGCAGGGTGGGCCCCAGCGCTTCTGGGAGGTCAGCGGGCGCCGGAGCCACCACATCACCAGCGCCGAGACAATGTCGCCTCGCGTCGTTGCGCAATCAAATTGCGCAAGTGCCACAAAGAGGCCGGCGAATACACCCCGCAGCTTCACATACAACCCAAGAAACCCAGGTATGTAGAGAAAGGAGCCTTTGGTATGGAAACATGTTACATAGTTTGTAGGGAAGTAACTTGCAACTGGCTGCACAGGAAAAGCGAAACATGATTACCAAGCTGAAACCCGTGCCATCTATTGTTAATCAGACTGGCCTTAAAAGGTCACCTGCCGAATGTCTTCCGTCCGAATCAGTATGCCGCGGCGCAGCTTTCGAAGAGCTCCTTCACCCGGAGCTTCTGTGGGCCAGGCATTGCGTCCAGGGTGGAGAAAATGGCCTCAGCAGAAGTGCCGTGCTGTGCGCTCTGAAGCCATTGCGTTTTTTATTTGAACCGGCAGGCTTTTCTGTTTGGTGCGGGCCGCGGGGCTCAAGTTGCATTGACCTGTGCAAAACAGGATCAGAGACGGTGACGGGAAACCATGAACATGGCCACTGCATGCCACAAGCTCGGCTCGAGGATGGCAGTGCTATGGTGGTTTCGCTAGTGTAATGGATGAGAATCATCCCTTGGCCCTGCTGCAAGCCGGGCTTAGTGTGGCATCAGGGTTGCACACAACAATGTGCCCTTCGATTAACAAGCCCGGCGGAAGAAATAGAGAGATCCCCACAAGCGAAGGATCCTGGATCCTCTCCAAAATGCGCAATGTGCTTTGGGAGGGGGGTTGGAAGCTGGCGCTTCAAGTCTCAATTAGCTAATGCTCTGTCTACAGGGTTCGCGCAATCCATGCTCACGAAAATAGTCGCACCTGACAATGATGTAGCCAACCTGAACTCTAATCTACTTGCAACAAGGTGCACGTCTTCGGTTGCCGCCAATTCGAAACTCAAGCAGCTGATTATATACATGCATATGTTTGTGGCGGCGGCCGCCCCATGCCCACCTAATATGCGGAAGCACCATACGGTGTGGTCAATCCGGGGTCCGGACACACCAAAAACAAGTGAGTCATAATCAAAACCTGGTAGCAACATGGTGTACGCAGAGCCATACAAAGAATTCAAAGGCGGTCGCACCCATTTCCGGCTGAGATTGCCACTTACTACCCTCCAATTACCCGAGTTTTGACTCTGGCTCAAGTGGACCCGAAAGATGGCGCCGCTTGCCGCTTGCCAGAAGAGCCAATGCAAACAGGTCCTCTTCGTAGGTAGCGTAAGCGCCCCTTCCGTCGAAGGCAAACAGATGTAAACAGGGGGCAAAACCACAGCCCAAACAAGGCGGGAAGTCGAACCCCCGGCGGATTTCCATGCAACACATGTAGCGCTAGAAAGAGCTATAATGGGGGGCTGTCCCTGGATGAGCCCAAAGTAAGCCCTTAGTAAACGGGGGGTTAATAAGGGATAGCCCCCCCCCATAGCCCCCTTTAGGGTCCATGCAACAATGGGCCGAATGGAATCTAGGAGCCGCCAGGGATGGCTCATAGGGATTCATCTGGCGGAGGTACGCCCACACACGTACACGGAGCTCAGGAGGCAGCTCGTGAACGCGTACCTGGCGGAAATTCTTTTTTGATGTTGGTTTTTTTGGGCTTGGATTGAAGAGAAACCGCGAGGACAACCAGTTGAGGTTCTCCACACACCCCAAACCATTGGGGTTGTGGGAGACAAAAAGCTAGACCCCTCTTTTCAGCCGGAATCATATATATACAATGGACGGCAGCCACTCAAAAGCGACCACTTTGTTTTCGCCTGATTCGTCCGGAAGGTTCAATCTGACGCACACATTGCAATATCTCAGCCCATCCATCTAGCCAAGTGATTCCAGCTGCCGTTGCAAAACATGGTTACACAGTAGAATGGTATTTGGGCGTGCTGGGTAAGGTTGTCAAATCAAGCACGGGCTCTTGTTGGGGCTCTTGGTGTGCCGGCAAGGTTTGAGCCTGTTTGAGCCCAGCATCACTGCCCCCTGAAAGTAGTGATGGCCCAGTCAAGACCCACCCCCTTTGACAGACTTGAGCCAACACCAATTCCAGAAATGATGCAAAATCGGCATTGCCCGCAGGGAATCACAAGAGTTTCATTGCCTAATCTACAGTAAGGCTGCGCTTTAAAGAGAACTAGGGTCTGGTCGCTTACACCACTGGGCCACCTCCTGGTTCAACCGTGTTTGTTTCAATACTTGTTCGTTTCCTTTGGCCTATTTGCGCTCAGATTTCCTAGGCAAATAGTCATGACAAAGAACCCTTTCTGCAACCAAGTGGCACTAACATGCCGTCCACGTCGCGACTTCCTAGCTTCCAGAGCATTTTTTCCAACCCCAAACCAATCAAAGCCCCCTCACCAAAACCCGCCCTCCGGCCTCAACCCCTTCCACTCGCCTTAGAGACCCCAAACCCAAGGAGCGCCCCTCACGTCCGAACCCCGCCAGTCCGGCCGCCTTGGGGTCCAGCCCCGCCGAGCCCTCGTGGCCCTGGCGGGGGAACTTCTTCAGCTCCTCAGGCCGCCACGCCCGCGCCAGCTCCGAGTCCTGGAGTCAAGGCTCCAATCGAGAGTTCCAACCCGTGCGTATCTAGTTGTTTTGCATATACATATATATATATATATGTATATGGTGCTGCTTGTTATACATATGTACATATATATATATACATATGTATATACATATATATATGTATGTATGTAACATGTGCATCTATATATGCATTAACTTGTTTATCTGTTCATCTATTCATACGTGTAGGGATGTACATTGATTGAGAAATAACAACTAACATTCTTATGTACATGCCTTGATGCATTAAACTTCATAAAACCCAACACGTGATGCCCATTTTAATGTCAACAAGCAACATGCAGCGAAGCCTGCAATAGGGGGAACCGAGGGAGCAGAAAGCCTTGGGGCAGGGTTGGAATCATACGATCCTAGGGTCAAGGCGAGAAACCACAGCGCAAAAACCTGGTCGCTTCATACGTATCTCTGGGGGTAGTGCAGGCTTTGGATGAATCTGACCATTGGGCATTCAGGGATGCCGTATTGCCAGCGGAAAGAACAGTCAACAGAAGCAAAAACAAGCCCGCTGCCAGCACATTCTCTCTGGCACAAATCGTCGAGGAGCCCAAAAAGTAGCAAATACCGAGGCGCTGAACAATTACGCACATGAATCTCCTTATGATCATGAAGCAAATTATTTTGATAGTACACTACCCCAGTAGCCTCCAGTCCACGAACATGGACCCTCAGAGGGGTTCCATGGTGGGATACGTATGCCCTCACTGCCATCTCCCCTGCGCGCTCCGGCACGTGCTCGGCGCCCTCGCACCAGAACGGCGCTGTCTCCCGGAATTCTTGCCGCAGCTCCGAGGGAGTTGCCTGCGCGAAGCAGTCAGAGGGAACTGTTGAAAGCTAAAGGATCAGAGAGGAATTGAACACCCAGGCGTTTACAAACTGCAAAAGGAAAAACAAAACAAAGAAGCATGCGCCAAAAAATGGTCGCTCAAGCTGGAACAAGCGTGCACACAAAGCGTGCCGCCTCCAAGGGCCACAGGCCCGCAGCCAGCAGCACGTTCCCTTGCCCCTCAGATGTATCTAGAGAATTATCTAGAGCACTCTGGGCAACTCGCCAGCTTAAGCAAGCTTCTGTGGATGGACGAAATCCTGCACCTGAGAAACCCTGGAATGATGATTCCCCTGTAAATACCAGCAAACCATTGTGGTTTCCCATGGTTTGCAAGTGGCGCAGTATTTCGTCCATCCGCGGTATCTGGATCTATCGGGAACCCTTCAACTCACGTCGCAAGAACTGTTCCCGCCAGGTGCCCACATCTCACGGAGCTGGGAGCTCTTTTGCCTGCAAGCATCCCAGCTGGGATATCTTGACTCTTTGCGTCGGAAGAGAGAAAAACCGTGTGGCATGTGGCAATTCCCGCAGCCCTCGCAAAAACGGATGATGGGGGAGCGGGCAAATTTCAGCTCCACCCAGACTGCCTCGCCGTTCTTCCGCGCCCGGCACCGCACCTGCAACTTGCGCAGGCCAAAGAAGCCTTGGGCGCGGCGCGACGAGATCGCCGAGTTAAGCGTCATTGCTCTGCGTCAACTGTACGCACATATCCACAAGCTCTAATCGCCCTGAATGGGGTCTGGAAAAGGTAGCTTCAACATGGCGCTTCAAAGGGAATCCTAGGAAGAAAAAAACGAACCTATAGCAGCCAAACACTCCGACGCCATCCAACCCGCTGCACTCACCCAGTCGCCGGTCGCCAGGATCGCGTGGATCTGCCGCCCAGCGCGTGCCGCGCTCGGCGCGGCTCCCTTCAGCGCCGGCGCCGGCTTCGCCGCCGGCGGAAGGCGCACGGTCGGCCGCCAGGGGTTCAAGGCCATGGGACTGGGGTGAAGCAAAAGGAGAGTCATCGAAACCTTAAGGAGAATAGCCCATGTTGGGGTGAAACCTGGTATGAAGTGATTAAGACGGTCTACTTAGAACCATGGAAAGATATCAAAATGCGGCTGCATCCATTTGTGGCTGGGACCTTCCCTTAACCACTAAACTTCACCAACCCGGGTATTGAATTTTGTGGCTCAGGTGATTGTGGACCACATGAGCCAAATTTAAAGCTCCGTGCATGCTTGCTTGGACAAAAAACGGAAGATCGTCAAGCTAACCGGTTAATGGAAGTGTGCTCGTGAAGCTGATGCAAACGCTGCTGAACTCATGGAAAAAATGATTTCTGGCCTCATCAACAGAAATCTTTACGATTCGGATGACTCCAGACTTGCAGATTGTCACGTTGATTCTGGATTACAAAGTAGCAGGCAACAACCCCGATTAAGCTACAAAGTGGGCTGATTCGGGTGTTTCAAGGATCTGGCCCTTGGAAAGGACCGAGGAAACTGCTGCAGAACAACCGCGGAAAAAAGGCTAAGAAAATGCCCAATGTTGCCCTCAAAACTTCCATGATGCCAGTCTGCCTGGTGTGTGTGTGCCTTTCAAGAGTGCTGGCCTTGTTTCACATGGTTCCGTGCTTTATGTACAAATTGACAACGACGGTTTTTATTAATATCGTGAATATCATTTGAAAATATATCTGAACTACGTGTTGAACCATTAAACAAATATATATATATATATATATTTCTGGACAATTTACATATCCACTAAAGTGTTGTAATTATATCTCCATAATTTCACAACTAGTGTCTCCAGATGCCCCCCCATTGACGCCACAGGTGGCGTGGCTTGTGTACTGGGTTTCGCTTGTCCAAGGCTGATCCCAGAACCCCCAACAAAGCGTTGAATGACTTAGTTTCTGCTTTAGGGGGCTCAGTTTCGAAAAGAAGCAACAAAAACATAGGTGGACCTGGATTGTCATGTGTAGGGTTATGGCGCTGTACTTTGTGTATTGTAGTAGTTTAGCCATTCCGGCTTGCAGCTCTGGACCTCTATTTTCGGGGGTGCACAGATTGTGGATTGATCGAATGAAGGCCCTGTTACAAATATCATCACCTTCATGCATCACCCATGTTGCCCAGCCATCATTCCCGCTTCCATTTTTCACTAGGCAACCATGGAAAATCATCATGTGGTTAAGAAACCCTGGTTACCTACTATAGTGGTAACTGGAGGCCCTGGGATTCTCGGCATGCGCACGTCACGCACTTGGTCCATCCCTTGTTTGTGTAGCAAAAAAAGCAAAAGCTACTATAAGCTATAGCTGATATAACAATCCTGAGATCGATCACATGTTGGCAAGCGAGTCCTGGCTGATGGATTGCCATACCTTGGCTTGACAAGTTTGCGCCGCAAACATGTCAATGGCCATGACATCCAAAAAGCGCATCACGACCCAACAAAGAAGGACTTGCATAGATTTGCAAACAAAAAGCAGATCGCCTAGCCCCATGCGGGATGTGCAAAGGCAGGTGATGCACCGAGATGCCTAAGGATCAGCAGCATTCAGCAGCGACAGGCGTCCATGGCTGTGCAAGGCTGGCACTGTGTAGTTTGTTGATTTGTGTTACGAGGCTCCACGCCTTTGACGTGGAACCTACTTAATCAAAGTGTGACACAGGCATGGAAGGGCCACCGTTCTTGTTCCACCAGCCTACCTGCAACTTGAGCTGGTGTTGCTAGCCACTGGGCTTGGGCGGCGTGAGCCAGATTGGAAACCACATCCAGCTGCGTGAGTGCATAAAGCCCACTGATGACAACTAATTAACTCCCACATGACAATCGGAACGAGCTGCTTACCTATAGCCACGCGCGCAGAAAACCAGAACAACAAACGTTCGTGGGAACAGCGCAGCGTGCTGAAGGATGCAGCCTGCTTTTTTGGGCTACAATACCAATGGCAGCAGGGACTTGCGCTCGTTGGAGTTGCAAACTTGCGCTCGTTGCTCATTTGCGACCTTGACCATGGCTTCCTTTTGGGGGAACCTGAGCCTTTCATGCCGGACCATGGCTTCTTCGCAACGTTCTGCGTAGGGCATACGAAGCAAACCACTCGCCGCAGCGGCACCTTTCCTGAAATAATGATGGAAGGGCGGTAGGCTCGAGTCATGATTCATCTGGCTAGCAAAGTGTGCCCACTGTCAAACAATGCGCCAATGTTAGGAAACTTCCACTGGTTCACAGGAAATACGTGTGTGTGCACGCGCACCTGCACGCATATGCCAGACAAATCGCTTCCAATTGCATCGCCTCGTGCTGTTGCTTGCCAAGTTCAAGCACCCTCTGACTTGATTTTGTTTTTTGTTTTTTTTGGTCCTGGGGAAGCCTTCCTGGCAACTCAACTACAGTAAACTAGGCAGCGGGCAATCTCAGGCTACTTAAAACTCACCCCATGCTTCAACCCCAAGCAATGCTAGCACACACAAACGATCGAAGCACTACAAGGGGTGCCCGAAATCTCCAGGGTCCCACGTTTCGCTCCACGTTGAGGGGGTCCCCTCAAACCTTTCCATGATGCGGCCCCACTGCCCGAGGCCCCCGCCACGCAGAATGCCGCGCCATTCGTGGCGAGTTCTCGGGACGCAAGGAGATGCGTTGACCTGACCTCTGCCTGAATTTCCTGGCCCAGCGCCGTTCAACCCTGGAAAAGCACGTGGTCGGTAAGAACGGTGCCCCTGGTTTTCTTTGTCTCAACACGGTCCCACAATATAATTGGCTTTAGTCTGCTTGAAATAGCGTACATCCACGGACTCAATTCCATTTGGTTTGCGGTTTGGCGGGTCCTGCCGCCCAGCGGTAAACACTCCTGCAGTCCAATGTCCTTGAGGTTGCAAGTGGGGCAAGTCTTTGGGCGCAAGTGTTTGGAGCCATCTCTCCATGACATTTCTGTGAAGTCTCCCTGAGCAAGCATTGTGGGCAATCTCTCCACTTGGACATAATAGTGGAGGAGACCCGAAGCAATCTCTCTGAGCAATCTTGTAACATCGTCGTAAAAGCAATCTCTCTGTGCATCTCTCAGCCAGTCTCTTGATGACATCTCGCCGTGTCATCTCTCGTCTGCTTTGCTGGTGACAGCTCCCCGCGCACTTTGTCCGTCGATTTGGCCGGAAGTACCATTCACCGTGCTTGCAAGAAAACAACCTATACCTAAATTCCCCAAGTAAGACGCTAAAGCTGGCCCCCCCAAACCCAGATCTCCAAACACCGATGCAAGCAACACACAACATCGTGGGGCTTTGTGTGGCGAATCTGCGAATGTGTGCTGTGGACTGGGTTGCCAAGTGGACGCGGTCCATCTTCACCGGACTTTGCGCGCGCGGGTGGGGGGTTCTTACAGCGGCAGGCGGGCCAACGTGAACAGCCCAAGCAAAAAATCCGAGCATGCGTCCCATGATGCACATATTTGCAGGATCAGCTCAAGCGCTGACATCTGCACGTCAAATCATGGAGATTCGTCACTCAACACAGCAGGCGACAAGGTCAAGAGCAGCCGCGGCTGATCAAAATCAAGGGGCCCCTCATCGACAAACGCTTGTATATGATGAATTCATCCTGTATGATGTCTCTACAACAATTCTGTGAATCCCTTTGGCGTTCCCTTCTCACAGACCCAGCGAGTACCTCACCGAAATATTGAAATACATCTTGACAGGCAGAACCCTCTGATGCAATTGCTACATTTGCGCTTGCAACTTCCAGTAACATGGAACCCATAATAACAGGGATCCCCGGCTCAGGAATTCCACCACAGGATTTTCAGGTTCCATGTGGTTGCACGGGACATGTTGATGTCGTTTTGCATGAGACGCGAGTGCATCAAAATCGCACGACCCGAGGCGAGGGCCATTCCATTCCCATCACAACCAACCTGCGCAAAGACGGGACATCCGAGTTCAAAGCTCTGCGCAGGGCAACAAGTCAAAACATCCCTCTCAGGTGAAGGGACGCTTGGAAACTGCATCCCACCACTGTAACGCAGCTACTTTGACGCGGCGCAATCTTGTGTGAACTCACTCCTTACATTCTCGAGGGGGGCTGCTGCGCAAAACGCCGTGATTGCGGCATGGCAAGTGTCACACGCTTAGATATCTGCTTTGGACATCAAACAACTGAAGATTGAAGATTGTTTCAATTTGAAATGACCCCAGATCAAAAAACCCAAAAGGCAAATCAGGTGGGACCCCCGTGCCAGGATTTTCCAAGGCAACGTGCCTGAGCACTTTGGCTGCATAGGCATTGTCCAAGAGCATCCTGCACATCGCCAGGTGCTAGATGGCTGTCACATGCACCCGTGAGCCAGTACACACATCACGAAGCGAATCAAAGAACGCACACTTGCAGCTTCGAACGTGTGGCGCTGCAAAGGGGCAAACACACCGAATGAAGATCCACATATTTGACATGCAAGCCGTAGTTGCATGTTTGGCAAGCCCAAGCACCGCATCAAGAACCAAACATGTCCAAGCCTGCCTTCAAAGGCAAGTCAACACCTTGCAGACCCACGCCAACAATCCCTTGCGCTTGCAATCCCAGCGGCAGCATAACTTTAGTGATTTCCCAATTCGTCTGGGGTTGAAACAAATGGCCAAACTGCACCCCTCCATATTGCTGGGTTTCCTAAGCAATCCAAACATGCTTTTGGCCAAAAGTGTGTCGTTTTTGAGAGCAGCCTTTTGGTTGCTCAAAGGGAAACCATGTGCCAATTCTACAATACTTCCAAATCTGAAGAAAACAACAGCGAGTAAAGGATCTTTACCATGGCTTGAGCTCGTTTTACCCCCGAATTCAGAGAGCTCGGCATAAACTCAAATCCCGAGTGGATTGGCCAAAAACAGTCCATCTGCTTTGGTGTGCCACTAAAATGGTCTTCCCCAAAAGTACAACAAGTCCAGGACCTCAGGAAGTGAGTCAATCACGCCGAACCCGGGGCGGGCGGAGGGGAT